TGGTAAGACATAGAGGAGGACAGAGTGATGGTGGGAGCTGATGGACGATGAGGATGGATGGTGACATGTTGACATAAAGAGGAATATGAAAGGAAAAGAGAAACTGGAGGCAAAGCAGGATGAGGATGCATGGGACAGGGTGGAGGTGGAGAAGGAAGAGAAGACATGAGGAGATGGTGGGAGGTGGATGAGGATAACAAGGAATGTGATGTGGTAGATGAAGGAGGAGCAGGTGAGAGGGTTGGGATGCAAGTGTGACAGGAAGACAGGAAGGTGGGATATGAAGGGCAATGGAGGAGCACAGGAAGGAGGGATGGGAGGTGGTGGGTGATGGAAGAGCGCAGGAAGAAGGGATGGGGTGTGGTGGGTGATGGAGGAGAACAAGAAGGAGGGATAGGACACAATATAGGATGCAGGAGCACAGGAGGGCGGGACAGGACGTGGTGCATAATGGAGGAGCATGGCATGGCAGGAAGGGATGGGACACAGTGGATGACAGAGCAGCACACTCTGGAAGGAGTGTGGAAGGAGGGATGGGATATTAAGGGGTGGAGGACAACAGGGAGGGATGGGAGGTGGTGGGTCACGGTGGAGCACAAGAAGGGATAAGACATGATGGAGTATGCAGGAGCACAGGAAGGAGGGACAAGACATGGTGGCCAACAGAAAAGAAGGATGGGACATGGTGGGTGATGGAGGAGGATGGCAGGGCGGAATGGGACACAGTGGGTGACAGGAGCACAGGAGGGAGGGATGGGATGGGTGGACAACAGAGGAGCAGCAGAAGGAGGGGTGGGACATGATAGATGGAGGTGCACAGGAAAAGGGATGGGATATGGTGGGTGATGGAGCATAAGAAGGAGGAATGGGATGGGTGGGTGATGGAGGAGCACAGGAAGGAAGGCTGGGATGAGTTAGGTGGGTGATGAAAGAGCAGGATAAAGAGGGATGGGACATGGTGGGCAATGGAAGAGCACATGAAGAAAGGGATGTGATTGAGGATGGGGGATAACAAGAAGGAAGGATGGGACATGGGGGATCAAAGAACAGGGACAAAATGGATGGGACTTGAAGGATGATGGAGCAAAAGGAGGGGTGAGTCATGGTGGGTGATGGAGGACCTCAGGGAAGGACAGTTTAATGTAGTGAGCCTGGAGGAGGCTGGGACCTGCAAGTGATGAGGGGCACAAGGGCAAGAAGCCATGGGCAGTGATGGGAACGGGGATGTGGGGTCTGCATGCAGGCTGGGGAGGATGGGACTGGACAGGGGAGGCGTAAGAAGCACCAGCATCACAAGAACAACATGGAGCTGAGAGGAGCCCCGTGCAGGGTGACACAGCCCTGGCAGCAAGGCTGTGGGGGACCCATGGGCGATGAGAGGGAGCCATGGTCGTGTGGCACAGCTGGGGTCAGCACACGGGGATGGGGTCGGGGAGAGGATGGTGGGCGAGGAGACAACGGGACACTGTGTGGGCTGGGCAGCTGGCGGGATGGAGAGACAGGAGTTAGGTGCATCTCCCCAACCCATGGATGCCCCAGCCACCCCACACTCCCCTCCACAGCGGCACCGGTTCCCCAGACAGGACAGGCATCACCATTCCCCTGCCGCAGCCTGGGAAGGCAGCACTGAGGGTGTGGGTGAGGGGTTGCAGGGCCTTTATGCATCACACGACAAGCAGGCATGGTACAGGGGTGCAGGATGGGGCGAGCAGGGGGCCCGTCATCGGGGCAGAAGATACCCTTCATGCAACCTTGGCATGGGATGGCGAGAGGAAACAGGAGGACAGGGCAGGGGCAAGCGTGGCTTTGCCCAAAGCACCTCGGGCTTCTCCCGAGGCCGGGAGCTGGCGTGCGAGGAGGATGGGGGCAGAGGCTGCGCGGGGACCAGGGCCGAATAAGCCACCTCCACACCTCAAGCAAATTTTCCCCGTTGCCTTTGTGAATCCCCTGCCGGCCCCTGGCCCCGTGGGTAATGCCCAGCACCGCTATTTACAGAGTATAACAGAACTGACCAATGTTACAAATAATTAAAAGGCAGTTGTAAAAATGAGAAACCACATTCCAAAAGTAGATTCTTTAAAAAAAAAAAACAAAACAAACAAAACCAAAACCCCAGTTATCATGGAAAATGTTAAAAACCACCCCAAAAGGATCTATGTACAGCAGGAGATTGCCCGCGGCAGCGCTGCACCTGACGGGGTGCAGGGACCCGACTCTCCGTGGCTGGCAGGGATGCTGCCTGGCCCCGGCTGCTGGTGAGAGTGGGCAGCGCCTGGCCCGCGTGTCCCGCACCTGGGGGACGAGGGTCCCCGTGGGGCCGGACAGGCGCCACAGGAGCAAAAGGCCATCGGTGCTGGGCCTGCTGGGCCCCGGCTGATGCTGGTGTGTCCGGAGACACAGGCAGTGAGCGGCCGTCGCGGAGATGCTGACGGAGGCTGCGACGTGGCAGTGATGCAGCCTGCCTGCTGCAGGCAGTGTGCGTCTGGACGGAAGGGGGCAGCAGCTTCGGCAGCAGGAGCATTTTTTAAGTGAAGCTGCAAGACGACAGCAATGCGCAGAGCCCCTGGAGCAGTGTACACAGCCCCAGAGCAACGGGCAGAGCCCCTGGAGCAGCATACAGAGCCCCAGAGCAATGCATGGAGCCCCTGGAGCAACGTATAGAGCCCCAGAGCAATGCACGGAGCCCCTGGAGCAATGTATAGAGCCCCCCAGAGCAAGGTACACCGCCTCCAAGCAATGCACAGAGCCCCAGGAGGTGCGGGCATCTGCAGGCAGCTCCATCTGGGTGAATCCCTGCCTGGCTCCTGGCAGGCAGCTCGAAAATAGGTCAGGCAGCCTCCTCTAAAATTGCTGTTCTCTCCTGGGGCTGCACAGGGACACCAACGTTGCTCTGCGTGGGGCTGGGATGCAGCTCCCCAGCCCCAGGAGCTCTGCACCGCCATGGGAGCTGCGGACATTGCCCCCTTCCCTCCCCAGATAAGGCTTTTTCTGGTGGTGACCGAGGGATGCATGGTGCAGACCACAGGCCATGCTGCAGCCTCCCAACCCGCAATCTCTTAATCCAATTGGTGCATCTCCAATGTAGCTCATTTCGGTATTTTTAAAATGCACTTGGTTTTACATTGCAGGCTGTCCGGAGTTGGGCAGAGCCAAAAGTGGAGGGAAAACAAAAGAAAAAAAAAAGAGAAATGCGTATTCTGTATATTCAGCACTCGGAGGAGCAAATAACTACAAGTGGCCCCAGGCAGGGAGGTGGGTGCAATGCAGGGGGGCACCACAGCCATGGCCCCTCAGGATGGTGGCAGGGGATATGCACGCACGTGAGTGTGCACACACACACGCATGCACACGCTGTCTC